TTTTTTCCTTACAAATGAGGATATATCTAAATTTTATACTCCAATAAAATGGAGCAAATTTATGTCTTCATGGGGCCTGAAAGTCCATCTTGCATCTATAAATGATTGATTAATTGCAAAAAAAAAAAAAAAAAAAAAGGGTTGGTAGCAGCAGATGACTTTCTAGCCAACCACTGTTGGGTTGATGAAAACATCACAACAGACGGACACAGCATGGATCGGATCACAACGGAGTCCATCTCTCTCTCTCTCTCTCTCTCTCTCTCTCTCTCTCTCTCTCTCTCTCTCTCTCTCTCTCTTGCTTGCTCGCTCTGCTTTCCCCCCCTTCTCTCTGCTTCCCCCCCCTTCTCTCTGCAACACACACACACACGCACACACGCACGCACACACACACGCACACACACACGCACGCACGCACACACACACCTGTCTCTTATACACATCTAGATGTGTATAAGAGACAGCCGCCGGGGTCACCCTGTTTTTGCGGATAGCCCGACCGTACAAGGATTAGGGAGGGTCCCAAAACAACAACAACAACAACCCTCATCTAGAATATGCGATCCCGTCCCGACTTACAGCACGACGAAGCTCGTCGAGAAAAAATATCCTGCAACGATGACCCCCAATTTAAGCACCTTACCGATCATCGATGATTGTTTTTTGTTCCCCCAGCTACTGCCAGTGGCTCGAGAGCACACGTGCAATTGAGACTTGTCTATCTGGAGCTCAAAGAGTCGGCCGTCGTTTGTCCCGACGTACAGGTACAGATCCCGATTGTATTCACGAATAGCTAGTCCTCCGAAGCCAGCAAATTCGCTGCCAAGCATTTCCGCCGCCACCTCGACACTGCGCGCCGCGCCGCAGGCGGAGTCGAGCTTGATCCAGAGCAGCCGACCGGAGCCCGCCGACCGGTCGGTGACGAACACATTGCACCCATCGGGCGAAGCGGCTATGTCTCTCCAAGCGTAATGCGGCGAGTCTTGACGGACCCCGTAGACGTCGGGGGCATTCTCATACCCCCTCCCAGCCACCCCCCTCACCTGAGAGGTCGCAAGATCGAGTCCGAACACCCTATCGTTCCACTTATCAATGAAATAAAGGCACTTAGCGGTGGAGGACAAGCTATTGGGGGTGAAATAAGCCGAAGAGAGGGTGTAATTTGAAATTGACGCAACTCCCGCAGTGGCGCTGTCGTTAACGACCGCCGGTGCCGGGATCGCAGGCGGTGTCGCGATCGTAAMCCCCCCCGCCCCCCCCCAGCCCCCCGCCCCTGCGCCGCCGTCAGGCTCCGTTTGCGAGTTGTCGACCGGGGTCCCGACAGCGTTAACGGCGGCGGAAACAATGGATCCCCGGCTTTGATCGCCGTCCGACACGTCCGGAGAGACGAAGAGCTTCGTCTTTGCAGTGTCGTACGCTAGACCTTCGATGGCACTGGCTATGTCGAAAGTGGCTATGGTGGACCGCGAGCCGTCGGCGATCGATAAAGATGCAATCTTGGGAGGGAGGGAGGAAGTGCCGTCGCTGTCGTTCGCATTGGAGAAGCCGATAACTAGATTGGAACTGGCGTTAGCAAGGTCCAAGCCGTTCAGGATTGCTATGGCTGACAAGTTCTCTCCGGCTTTATAGATGGAAGGGAAGGCGATCTTTCCTCCCTCGGGAACGTCGACTGGCCACCAGTAGCTAATTAACCCCCCGTCATCACCCCCTCCTCCTCCGCCCATCCCCCCTCCTCCTCCGCCCATCCCCCCTCCTCCTCCGTCCATTCCCCCCGCGTCTCCACCCCCTCCTCCATTTCCTCCTGCCGACGATGGGCCTTGGCCTCGATCCGTCGCCGTCGGATTGACATCTGCTTGACGGACAGAGATCAGCCAATGAGTGGTTACTCTGTACCGAATATTCACCCATTTGTATCGAGTCTCGTTGACAGAGATGCACCGTTGATCGAGGATGTAATATAGTTTGGTAGTCGGCGGAAGGAAGACGATATCGCGGACAAGGGATTCGCACCAAAAGGAGGAGGAACCGTTAAGGACAGAGGGGGCGGAGTTGAACGGAGACTCAGGGGCATGGAGGAGAATGACTCTCGGGCCGTTATTAATGTTGTCGACAACGAATAATGAAGGCTTAAGGAGCCTGAGGCATGAAGGCGCGGCCTGCGAAGCGCGCGACCGGTCCCTGTCTTCTTCAAGAAACTGGACGGCGACCCCGCCTCCTCCTCCACGCCCATGATTGCCACTTCCGCGTCCATCACCTCCTCCTGCTCCCTCTCCTCCTTCTTTAGCCCATCCGGATCCGGATCCGGATCCGGATTCGGACTCGGATTCGGAATCGGGATCGGGATGGGGATGGGGATGAAAGCGCGAGCTGGTTTTGTGATTGGACTTCGACGAAGCGAACAGCGAGGAGGAGGAGGAAGAGGAGGAGGAGGAGGAGGCATTCCTGATCAGGAAAGGCCGTGGGATGAATGGACGCTCATCGGGATCCGGACCGGCGGCGGCTGTGGCGAAGCTGAGCACGCAACAAGCCCAGAGGGAGGAGAGAACGAAGAGTGTGGGCAGTGTTCGCCGGGATATTATCGAGGAGGAGGAGCGGTCCATCG